TATTTGCTTGCTCCACGCAAAAAAGTTGATGGGTATTACTAAAATAAACTCTAATAATCAATAAGATATGATTATGATTTACAATGTGATCTAATATATAATATATTTGTTATGATTTAATGTATGATATGATATGATATGATATGATTTGTTTCTAGTTACTACTGACCAGCCAGCACAAGTCTCTCTGTACAAAGTAAAAAAATCTGAAAAAGATACTTACAAAAAAAGAGAATCTTGGTTATTATCAGATTTGAAAGTTGTAGACGGGAAAGATACTACAAAGGTAAAAATTGCTCTTATCAATTTTAGATGCGAAGAGTGAATATCGTGATCTCTGAACCACAAAAATGGGGTGACCATAACAACAACTACAATGGTTCTGCTGTCTATTTCTTGTGGTAGAGAAGTACAATTTTTAAATTAGCAAATAGATGATGAAGATGGCAATTAAAACATGTCATGTTTATGTGACTGACTTCATTTGTATATCTAGTTAAAGATCAGCAACTTGGGGGGATCCTGGTATATATTTCTTGTGGATACTATAATGAAGTTAATACCTCTTAATTATTGACATTTATAGAAACATCCCTTTTTTATAATTTTTTAAATTAAAAAATGAAGACATTTTTAAAAAGTGCTTTAAATTAATCATTTGCAAATATGTATTTTAGTTTCATCACTACAATTAGGCACAGAATATTTAAAATGTGAAACCTTCATTTTCTGGCAGCATGGATGTATTCGTAATTGGTCAAAGTTCACACTGACTATTATAAAATTCTATGTGGGTTGCAGTATTTATGTGCTGAGGAATTGTGATTGTTCAAGCAGTTCTCAACTGTCATTTGAAATTCCTAAAAATTTATGAATATTTTTTATGTAAAAACATTCATTGCTTTCTGAAATGTGTGTTTCTGTTAATTGAAAATCCCCTGAAATTTAGCTTTTCTTTTTGTTCTCGCCACAAAGTATTAATAAGTGAAAAAAATCTTAGTCATTTCTTTTTAATAAGAATCCAACATAAACTGTACTTTGTGAAATATAGTGTAGAGAACAGAATTGTGTGTTTGTTTCATACACCCCCCCCCCCAAAAAAAATGGTACGCCCATTGAGCTAATGGGGTGCAAGGAATGATGAGCAGATCGACACCATTGCATTTGGGTATTTTTTCTAAATTAAAGCTCAATTCAAATTAAAGATCACATGACTGTATTGAATGATATACGTCTTTCAGGATGTAGCAGAGTTTGATTTACAGTTTGAAAAGATATTCAAGTGGATTGCCAGTAACGAAGCAGAAAAGAATGCGTTTATAACAAGTCTGTGGAAGGTATGCATAATGCCTTACATAATGAGTGATTGCTATCATGTGCAGTGCAGGCTTTGCTATGTGTAATAAGCAAAATATCTTCACATATTATCATATGTCATGTATGTAAATGTGTCCAAATGGGCGTAGTGCGAGTGGTTAGTGCTAGTAGCACTAATCCGAAAAAGTACTAGATCTAGTGCTAAAATGGCACTAGATCTAGCGCTAAAATGGCACTAGATCTAGTGCTAAAATGTGCACAGTGCGAGTGGCATTGTTATCGCATTGTCAACGACGTCGAATAATAGGATGGGCGTCAACAACCACTTTCATATGCAAACTGCAAACAGTATAAAACATTGGCAATATGCGCGAGATGTCTATAATAATACTTTCTTTATATAATACCGGATTCTGCCGTAAATTCGCCCATCCGAAAAATCGCCCTGGGGATTTCACGGCTGATGGGCGCTTATTTGGGGTTCAAAATTTCAAAAATTATTATCAAATATTTTTGGGGGACATTTTCATTGTATCCA